GCCCCCAGAATCTCACACACAGCCAAGCTCCCAACAGCAAGCACAGCGTCTCTTCCTTTTGTTTCTTCCTGAGGGCAAAAGCCATCACCCTCGTGCCCGACCCTGGGAGGGCCCGTGCCAAGATGCTCGCACCTGCATCTCCCCAGTGTGAGCACCTGTCCTTCAAACAGGGCTGGAAACTGGGTTTTCTTAGGGGGTCTACAGTTCAGGGTCTCACTACTAGATCAGACTCGTAGTGATCTGCCTGTTTATAGCCTCCCAAGAGCTGAGATTACAGGCATTCGCCACCACACCCAGTCTCGCGGGCGGGCACAGCAGGCCGGGGGAGCGAACCTGGGGCCCCTGTGCCTGCTTGCCAGTGCTTTGATCTGCTGAGCTATTTGGCCAGCGATGAAAGTGTTTCTTCACTTGTAAAATAAGAACCTTTTCATCTGCCTCACAGAGCTCTAGTGAGGAGCGAGTGAGCGTGGCCTGCAAAGCAAGGCTCTGGCACATAACGCACACCATATAAATATTTGCCATTTTTGGATTCATTTGTCTCCTTAGTACTGACCACCAGGAAGCAGCAATGTGCGTGGCTGCTGCAATTTGGTTGCACTGGGCAGGCAAGTTCCAAAAAAACCTGAGCTCTAACTCAGAATCGAATTGGAAGTACTGATAGTATTTTTCCAATGACTTCTCCAATTATCTGTATAGCCCTCAACCCACCTGCTGCTCCAGTCTTCTGGGAATAAGAGCCAAGTCCGGTTAAGCAAAGGAGCCAGCCCCAACTCCTTCCAAGGATAGGGCACCTGCCTTGGAGTAATATTTTTGAAAAGCTTCACTGGTTGGCTTGTTCAAAGCACACTTATACTAGACAAGTCTAAGTTTTTGTTTTGGTTTGGTTTGGTTTTTCTTGGTACCAGGGATCAAACTCAGGACCTTGCTCTTGCCAGGCAGGTGCTTAAGCCACTGAGCCACGTCCCTGGCCTGACAATTTCACTTCTAAATGTGTGCTCTTGTGTGTGTGACTGGCTGTTGCCCTGTTATGCAAGTTTTCCTGGCTTCCTCTGGAGCCGACCCGGCTTTCCAGGACTTGTCTGACCCCACCTTCAGGGAAGCCACCTTCTGGGTGCATGAATGGCTGGGTCTCCCAGGGAGGAGGATCTCTGGAGGCTGACTGAGCCCGGTTCAGCCTTTCCTTGTGAAATGCAGGGTGAAGTCCAGGTGTGATCAGAGCCACCCTGAAAAGCAAAGGTGACCAGAGCCACCCTGAGGTTCTGCAGAATGCAGACTGCTCCTTCTCCAGTCTCACATGAATGCAAGCCCCTGCAGACGTCAGACAGCCTGGATGTTTGTATGTCATTACAAGGGCTTTTGGATACGCAATTTGCTGATGCCATATAAAGCCACCAGGGTAGTCCGTTGTTGTCATTTCCATTTCCTAAGAGGGGAAGTGCAGAAAAGGTGACTGGCCCCAGTGTGGAAACGTGTATGGCTCTGTTGGAGGAAGGGTCGGTGCAAGCCTGGACTGGCTTTATCGAAGGAGCATGGGTCAACTCTAAAGTGCAGAACAAGACGATCCCGTGGCATGAGCTATAGTGAACTGGGTTTTAAACTTCAGCCCTACCACAGGCTAGAGGTATGAACTTGGGCAAATGAATTTGGTGATTTCCTCCTCAGCTCTGAAAAGAGACTATCTAAAAGGACTAAATGACCTTACATTATGTAGAGTCATAGACGTGGCCAACAAGTAAATGCCCTTGACTATGTGGATAGAAATGCAGAGCCTCTCCGCACCTTCCAAGGCCTCCTGTAGGACTTCCCACAGCATGGTTCCTACCTCTGAAGCAACCAAAAATGAGCTAGTCCGAGCTCTCTTCAACCCCAAAGCGGGACTGAGGAGCCAGTTCTTAAAATTAAACCCCATAAAGGCGACTCTCCTCTCCGGCAGGCTGCCCGACGGGGTATTCATCAGAGGGTGACACACAGGGCTGGTGGCAGGCGGCCCTCAGCCCTTTCTAGGCCACTGGTCCGGGAGCTCTGCCCAGCAGTCTGGCATCGCGGAGATTTACCCAGCACGCCTGAGTGAGTCTGGCCCCTGCTGCAGGATCGCATTTCACCCGCTGCTGAAACCCCTTGAAATTCCCCTTGCTCACCCCGAAGACACAGCAGTGAAAGAAGCAACCTGCGGCCTTGCCCAGTGAACGCTCTTGTCAGCCATCCCTGCACCGTTTGTTTCCTATGGGCCCCAAAAAGATAATCCGAGAAATTTCTAGTTTGTGCAGAGTTGCAAGCGCAGGGATTTTGCCTCAGCCCCCCTGTCCGCAGAAGACCTGGTGAGCTTTCGGCTGTGCCGAGATCAGGCCGTGCAACACTTTTCCCCTTTCAACTTCAACGGCGTTTGGCAGCCACCTTCTTCAGCTTGTCACTAGGGAGGAGTGAGGCAGGGGGCCAGGCCATTCCTTTCAAGGAATGTCCTGAATCATTCTTTTCAAGGAACGTCCTGGCTCTAGCGCTGCACCCCTGCCAAATCCACAAAGCCCAGATATTCTTCTTGACCCTTCTTTTCCAGCAGTCTCTCCCCACCCAAGCAGAGGCCTCTACCCCTGCATCTGTCTACCCTGCACACAGAAGAGAGATAGCACTCCGGTACCTCAGAAGCTGGGAGTTCACAAACAAGCCGACGTAACCTCTTCAGAGACATCTCCCTGAAATATTTACGTGTCTCTCACTTGACCACGGCCCACAATGAGTCACCTCTGGGCTTCCGTCCACAGCAGTTTGAATAACAGCAATGCCGAGGCCATGACCTTACACTTTCCATTCTTACTAAAGCTCTCACTTCACCTCATTACCTTCAGACTAACTTTATTTCATGTTTAGTCTTCAAGTTTGTGATAGTTTGTAAGCATTTTCCAAGTCATCCTCTTAACAACACATCTGTTTATTATCAGCCAGGTAATATCTTAACAGACTCGGAAAACAGAGTTGGACTCTGCAGACAGGACTGTGTTTGGAACCGTGAGACAGAAAGAATCCACTTCACAAAGCAGGGTTTAGAGTGCAGAACTAAATTTATGTGGCATGTTACCTAACACCTCCCAGTCCTAAGGCGCAAGGGAATAAAATCTAAATTAAAAAACAAACAAACAAACAAATAAAAAAAAACCTCTTTTGGGTTATAGGTCTTTTAAAAACGTGTACTTCTAGAGTGTCCTCACTGCTGTCACCCGCGTTCTAGGACACGCACCTAGCGCTCTGGCCCAGCGTCAGTCCCTTAGTCATTCAGTGTCCATGTGAGGCGAACACGACGCAGGGTGTGCATTTCTGCCCCATGTGCACGTGTCCCCACTGTCCCCTTCCAACGGAAGCCTGCTTCTTCTAACATACCCGGGAAGGGCCTCAGTGGAGAGGCTGATACAGGGCTTCTTTTTTTTTTTTTTTTTTTTTGGCAGAACCCGGGATTGAACTCAGACCCTTGCGCTTGCCAGGGAAGCGCTTATTCCACTGAGCCATCTCGCCGGCCCTGATGATGCAGGGCTTTGAGCAGTGCTGGGAATGCACGAGGCAGAAGAGGCTCCCTGCCCTCCCAGCTTGAGCTGCCGCTGCCGCTCCGGCCTTTCCAGGACCTGCGCCTCCCATGCCGTCTCTGTCCACAAGCACTGGGTGGCAGAGGCCAGGCTCTGCTCCTCTGACTCCTGCTCAGGTCTGACCTGCTACGTCTGCTGGGGCCAGGCGCCCGCAGGGTCACAGCCAGCTGCCTCCTCCACCGACCAAAAGGCCTACCCGCTCCCCCTAAGAGCTTTGCATCAGCAAGCAGGTATTTTCTCACGGGAAAATGCTCCTATCAAAATGAGGAAAAATGAGTAACATAAGCCTGAGTATCTTTAGTGGGAATCTGTCTGTGCTGAAATTATAAGTATGATAAAAACCAAACCGCTGGGGAGATAGCTCAGTAGAATAAGCACCTGCCTGGCAAGCTCAGGGTCCTGAGTTCAATCCCCAGCACAGCAAAACAAACAAAAAACCAAACCATAAGCCTTCACTGAGAGCTGGGCCCTACTATGCATTATTCCCTAGTCTGGATTTTTGTTTTAAGTGGCCAGATTCTCACCCTTTCTTTCTTCAATTTTCCCTATCTTGTTCTCAGGCAACCTCTTAATACAACTCCTCTCTCCCCCAAGACACCGTTTCTGGGCCTCACTAATCTCCTTTCTTTAACATCTAAGCCCAGGCCTTGTCCAGCTCCAATGCGCTGCTGGCACTGATAGTTCATACGTGTACATGTTCCCATAAATGTCTGTTAGCAAGCAGGGTCTGACCTCTCTGACTGCCACAATGCCTGTCACAATGTTGACTTCACGGAGCTCTGGACATGAAGCCACATGGTGATGCACACAAGCTAAGGAAGTCATTGCTCCCCACTTCGCGTGACCCAGGAGGACGAGCCTCTCTGACTCATGGTTCATTAATAAAGCTGCCTTGGTTAGTTGAACTAAACTTATTGCACCCTTAATCCAAGATCTCAGGCTTTAATCACAGGTCGAGTGTATGACAAATGACACTCGAGAGCTGCCTTCGTGCTGCACCACAGGACGTGGCTGTGCCACAAGGGGCCCTTCCCCTGCTCACACAGCCACCCCTTTCTTGCCGTGTGGGGTTCTCGCCTGAGCAGCTCTGGCCCTCAGCTGAGCAGCGCATCGCTGTAGAATCTCTGGCATCCTCTGTGGGAAGGAGTGGGTCTGCCCCTCTCCTCATGACTAAGTCCAGAGAATGTGAGCTGACCCAGGGCTGACCTTTTAACCTGGTGGTATTCCACCCTCCCCTCCCCGGGCTTGGTCACAGGGCCTGCTGTCACGGAAGGGACAATTACAGAACATGAGGGCCATGCCCGGCGCTGCCAGGCTGGGTCATTGAGTCCTGGCTCCCAAATCTGGTGGCCTCCTCTTTCTTTAACTAGGCTCCGCACAGCATACCTGCTTAAGCTGGTTTTTTTTTTTTTTTTTTTTTTTTTTTTTTTTTAAGTGGCCAGCTCCTCACCATTTCTTTCTTCAATTTTTCCTACATTGTTCACTAAGTCTGGGAACCTGTTTCCTCATCCACTGACAGGGAGGGACCCATGCACACACACACGGTAGTGGAGGAAGTTGCACCCAGGGAGCAGCTCCTCAGTAAGTGTTAGCCATTATTACTTTTATTACCTAAGAGCGTGACTAGATAGAGCGCACGGTTATTTATTTATCGGCTTAGTCGTCTCAGAAGTGGGTCTGAAGACTGCTATGGTAAAGGTCACTTAGTGAGCAGAAAGGTTAGGGCGGGGGGAGGGGCGGGTGGAAGGCTCCCCCCCTGCACCATGATGCGCACGCGTGCATGCCCACTCCTCATCTCCAGTCCTACTTGGCGAGTGGCCCAAAAGCTCTTCACAGCCAACCAAGGATGGGCTGCACAGAGCTATGTGCATTCCATCAGAAGAGAAGCAAGGAGGCAGGAGGGCCACTTGCTATATTTTCTTATCCTTAGCGAAGTACTGGCTCTCCTGTGCTAGGCCCCCCACCTGCCGAGAAGAGATGACACGCAGGTCGTGGATGGACCGCACGGTCCACTGGGAAAGCTCCTGCAGCACCTTGAGGCCCCACAGCTTCTTCTCAAAGAGTCCCCCTTGGCCCGCAGGCTTCCCACTGGCCTCTTCTGGGGGGATCTTATGCTCCAGGTGCGCCATCAGCTCCTCCAGCTGGTAGGTGAAGGCGGAGACTTGCAGCCCAAGCGTGTGGATGGCCTGATGGAAGTCACCTTCCGTGGGGGTGAAGTGCACCCGCTGGTCTTCTAGAAGCCGCGCCAGCAGGACGCGGAAGGTGCGGTAAGCCTGCAGGTTCTCCTGTAGCCGGTCCGCCTCGGCGAGCTCGCTCCACCGGTTGGTGCCCGCCGTCGGGACACCATCCACAGAATCCAGGCTGACGTCTGTGCCCAGACCCTGGTGTTTCACCTGCAGAGCAAAGGGGAGAACATGACGCCTGTGCCACCACCCAGGCTCTCTACTGAGACCTCACTAAAACCTCCTTCACCTCTGATCAAGGAGCCATACTGCAAATGTAGCCATACTATATTTTTACTGTTTTAATGTGTTTGGTCCAGGGTCTCCCTAGGCGGCTGACTCGCAGTGATGCTCCTGTTTTCAGCCTCCCCAGCGCTGAGTTCACAGGCCTGTGCCACAATGCCCAGACTCGTCCGTGGCTCAGCGCACCCCAGGGGCGGAGCCAGTGTGGCATGTGGTGCTGTGGATCAAACCCCAGTCCCTGTGCTTGCCTAAGCATGCACTTAGTCCGCTGAGCTCTCACCAGCCCTATACTGCAAATTAAATGTCCAGAAGATTTGGGATCCAAGCCCTGACTCTACGAAAGGTGGCCAACTGGCTGAAATGGACAAGCTGAGCATTTTTACTGGAAGAATATTCAACTTTTATGAAGTGATAAAGGTTGAAAACCACTGACTTAGATGCTTTCTTCCTGCTTTAAACTCTCTCATGAAACATTTTAATCATACTAGAGATTAAATATTTTAAACACAGAAAGACACCCAGCAGCAGCTACCGGAGAATTTCCCCTAACCTTCCTGTCCCTATCACTTACTCTCCCTGGTCAAGTCAATATGTTAGGGACTAAATTCCTAAAAAGTATCAGTCTGATTTCTGGCTGGCAAGGCTGTCCACAGCTAAAGCAATTCAGGGAGTCTGAGCTCAGAACTTCCCAAAGGAACCCGAGTATTCCCACCACAGGCCTCAGGAGATGCCCCCTTCAGAGAAGCAGCTCAAGAGTGCGCCACTGGCGTGCATCCCAAGTGAGCCTTGCAAGGAGCCTTCTGAGAGCTTAGGCCACCTTCCACTCAGACGTATGGATGCATTTGATGTAACTCCAAGATGTGGGGGGCTCCCACTGTGTAAGTTGGATTTACAGACTTCCCCCAAGTTCTTAAATTTTTCTCCCAATCCTATAGACCCACTTACATAGCTCAAAAATTTTTATAGAATTTCTTCTACAGTATCTACAGAATTAAAGTTAACAGGGTCCAATGCTGGTAGACTTCAGAGTACAGGGCATCAAGTCAGCACCAGCCTGGAAACAGGGCCAGTCTAAAACCCCGCTTCTCCCCCTGAAGGAGCAGCACATCTCCCAAGCAGCCTGCAGGAAGACACGAGGTCACCCGACCTTCCGAAGGGACACGGGCCTCCTCAGGTAGCAGGTCCCTGGCAGGATTGTGACATGCTGGCATGGCCCTGGCCAGGTCTGGAGATGCAGGGACAGAGACAACAGGACAGACAACTTACATAAGCCTCCGTGAGGGCAGTCAGGTCTGAACGAATCTTCCTCGCTAGCCAGATAGAGCGGCTGCACAGGTCCCGCCGCCGCGGGGCCCGCAGTGACTGCTCTGCGAGAGCCATCTCCTGCCTCGCTGCCCAGGACACGGGAGGGCCGCCCAGGACACAGGCGGGCCGCCCAGGACACAGGCGGGCCAGGCTCTCCTGTCTGCACCGGTCGGTCGGAGTCAGGACTGCGCCTCTCACGCCCAAACCCACTGGGCATTCTCTGATGGGACTGGGCACCCCACCTCCCACCCCCCGCCTGACTCAGAGGTGGCAGCAAATTCCCGGCTGTGGATTTTTGTGCCTGTGGAATCAAAGGGCCCTTTTCAGTCAGCTCTTTTTCTTTCCCTAGCAGCCTCTGCCTCCACCTCTCCTCCACTCAGCACTTAGCACACTTGTTTTTGTGCCACTGTTTTGCTTCTGCACTTAGCAACAAGGTCACTGTCACACAGGTCCTCACGACACCCCTGCCTAGTGCAGTCCACTTAACACACACGAATCAGGGCTCTGTTAGCACCTGGTTTACACTTCTCATGTCCTTTTTGCTTTGCTTGAGTGTTCAGTATTGAGTTATTACTGATAGACTGAATTATTAAACACCTGCCACAGCTCAGAACTAAGTGAAGGCTTTAAAATATTTGATCCTTAGATTTATTCTAAAGTAAAGATTAGTTTTCCCACTTTATATAAAAAGCTTAAGAGTAATATACACAAAATCACGTAAACTGGCCTTAAATTTATAGTCGTTTTTGGATTTTCAGTTGTTTCTACCACTAACTTTCTACTTCATTCATGCAAGAAACTGTTTATGTGAAAACGGCCCTTTAAAAATGCATCTTCTCACTTTCAGTCTCCTGCTGGTGCTTTCTACTGTTGCTCCATTTGTACCTCCCTGCAGATGTCAACCAGTGCAGAGCCTCTCACTGCCGGTGCCTTCCGGGTGACCACAGTGAGGGAAGGCTCTGTCCAGGCCTGTCCGCTGCCAGAGGAAACACCCAGCCCTGACTCGGAGCAACTCTCAGGCAGTCCTCAAGTGACAACATGCTCCTCCCTGTCCCCTGCCTGCACCGCACAGTTTTCACACAAGAGCATCAGCTGAGCTTTGGCAATGAGTAAGGAAGTTAAAAGTAACTGGGAAACTGTCACTGTACTGCATGTCACTCGATGGTGCTGCCTGCATCGATTACCTTTGACAACTTTAGAGCAGAGGCTGCAGTCACAGGAGTGGTTCATATAGCACACGAAGGGAAAAGGGAAAAAGGGTGGGGCCGCTGTCACAGGAAGACTTTTGAAAGGTAGAAGGGTTCCAGTTTTGGGCATTTTTAATGTTAATATTAAGGATACTGAGCCTTATGGATAACTGATACTAAATGCTGATAGGACTGTCACTGTCCAAGTGACACTGTTCAAGTGACACAGCACTGACACTCCCTGTACTAGAGCAGCAGCTACTTTTCAACATAAGGCTCCAGAAACCTCCATCAAACAGGTTTCTGATCACAGAATCTCTTGGCATCTAGGAATTACAAACCAAGAACCACACCAAACAAAAAAGTTTGCCTCACTGAACAAGAGTAAATGGCAGTACACAGAACCTAAGACCTGCCAAGGAACTGTTGTCACCCCTAGAAAACTGCTAAGTCAGGACAATCAAGGAAGACAAGCTGCTTCCATGAGGACAATTTTTATTTTTTTCTTTACATATTTTGGATATGCCTTACCTAGATTAAGAAAAACCAAGGATTTGAAAAGCAAAGTATCCCTTTTATTATAATTTCTTTTTACATAACCTTTTCAACCTATATTCAGGTAATTACCCATCTCTCCCAATCAAAGGAGAGGGGTCCTGCATATTACAATAGGCAAAAAAGGCTTTTAGGAAATAAAATATTTTAAATTGATCCATTACAGGTTTTCCATTTTCTTGAGTATACTGGAAAGTGGGAAAAAGAAAGAAAATGGTACTTTAAGCAGTGAGACAGTAACAACCTTAGTCGGGTTCGTAGTGTATTTCATAGGGTTTTCCTCCAGCCAGATGTGAGGAGGCCCTAGTGCTCTGCACCGTGTGGAAGCTGTTCTCCGCTCTCTTTAACCCCAGAACTCTGGCCAGTACCGGTCCAACCTCTCTGCAGGGCAACCCTGGGCAGCCGCACACAGGGGACAGGACATCTAGAAATGCTTGGCCACTGTGTCTCAACCACACGAGTGGGATTTCCAATTCAGATAGAGAATGTGAAGGGAATTATTACAAACGTAACAAACTGAGAGTAGGAAATAGTCTTTTGAGATTAATAGAGCTCCTGGCAGGATAACGAATCAATAGCAACATGGGGAGCAGGAAGGAATGGGGCTTAGTTCACTTATACTTACTATGCTAGGACTTCTTTCTTGAAAGGAAAAGCATAAAGCCCATACAAAAATGTCACTGCAAACATGTAAAACAATGTATCGGCAGCTAATGGAAGGTATGAAAAGGCAAAAAAGAAATGATGGAAGTCTCTATCAGATAACGAAGTGCTTTCCGGAGTGGGGAATGTGGGTATGGGGAGGGAGAATGTATTTTCATCTATATCAGAAAGAAAAGCTTATTTTTTAATGCTGTTCACTTCTAAAATACCTGGCTAAAATATCTGATGACGTGAAACTGAGATAAAAGCCTGAGGGTAACAGAGGCAAAGGGGAGTGCAGGTATCCATGCCAGACAGCGGAGCAGCGCAGGACAGCATGCGAAGACCCAGCCAGCACGTCAGTCCCACACCAGGAGGCTCAGAGCTACTCCACGGCAGAGCTGCCTAGAGGCCCTTGCTGTGCACAGGAAAGCCGACCCTGCAGCCCTTCTACCCGTCTTCCAATTTCCACCCTCGCCATGGAAGACAAAGCTACAGCACCATGAACACTCAACAGTGCATTTCAAGCTGCCCCCCGTAGGTGTCCCCTGACATCTTAACTGTCTTGAGAAAAAATAAATCAAGAAACGAGTAAATTTTACTAGTTTTAGTGTTTGTGAAAAACAAGCTGTTCCTGCTTCATTCTCTGCACAACTTCATTCTTCCCAACAGCCACCACACACTTCTGACAATGGACAGGGAACAGGGTAAGGCTTCAATGCTAGCTTCTGAGGTACACGGGAGAGGCACTGCCCTTCTAGTTCTCTAAAAGGATCCAACCAGGCTGTCAGGCTCCCGGGAGCTGGGAATGCTATGCAACACTACCTGTGTCTTCCATGAATGAGATAGGCAATCTACTCTGGTAAAGTCCCTCTTCCAAAGGAAGTGGAAGTCCCCAGGTCTTCTGTCAGAAGCCAGACCTACTATTACACAGGTAACTGTCTAGTGAGCCCTTTTCTGAGGTGTTACTAGAAGGGAAACAAAACGGAGCAGTTTTCCTCTGACTTTAGGACTTCTAGCCACTGTTTTTTCGCTTAGGAACCAAAATAAAGCAGAGCAGAACACAAAAACCAAGAAGGGCACAGAAGGCAGGCATATAAGGTGAGGGTGAGAACAGAAGCAACTCACAGATCTTTTAGCTGTAACTTAGGCCTTCCTCACTCCCGTAAAACTCCTAAGCCTCTGCTCCTAGACTCTCCAAGAGCGCTCCTCGACGCCCGTGACCTACCACCCTTCCCTGCAAGGCTTCTGACAACGCTCTAGGCTACTGTAGTGATTCTGTAGTGCTGAGGAACAGCGCTCCCTAAAGGCCACTGGAGAGCCAGGATTCTAGAGGCTGGCTGTGCTTCTGCCACCTTGCGCCTTGCCTTGGAAGAACCCCTTGTGGACAGCATCCCACTTCAGAATACTCTAACTTCTCCCAGCCCCACAAAACATAGCCATGAAGACCCCACCCCCCGCAAAAATGACTTTCCATTAATAAATAAGGAATCTCAGGTTCCACAACACAAAACACATATGTTCAAAGTGCAAATTTCTGCCATTAGCCTGGGACTTTCCTCACCGTCTCACGGACAGAGCCCTGTTATGGCCAGAGACTGAGCAGAGGGCAGCCTCCTCCCGCCTGGAGCCGGCTTCCAGCCAGGGAGCACCGTGAGGAGCCAGGTGGAGGCCTGGGAGGGGCTGGGGTGCTAGGACCAGAGAGCAGGGTGGTCCACACGGAACCTTCCTTCCCAAGTCCAGAGGGGGCCGGAGGAGGGGTGAGAGTGGGTGCTGTTTTAACAGCACACCGTAAGGGGCCCTAAAGTGCGAGTCAAGCTCCAGAGATGAGAATTCTGTAATATTTGAGAATAAGTGCTGCCGTAGCAGGGAGAAGCCAGAACTGTGGGGCAGCAGGAGGAAGAATTTGGAGTCAGTTACATACTACAGGAGTTAAAAGCTGGCCCAGAGCGTGTGGGTTACAGGCTGGAGAAGGGGATCTGCTGGGAGCAGGGAGGCTGCCGCGCAGGAGGCAGCGGGGAGAGCCTCGCTCAGAGCTGCTGCTGCTGCTGCTTTCCAAGCTGTGTACCTTTCTGGAAAAGGCAACGTCAATTTCATAAGGGGGCAAGGGGCGCCAGGGGCTGGGGTGGGGTGTGTGCTGTGATCCACAACGGGAAGAGCAGGCCCTTCAGTTATTTTACTACATTTTAAATGCTTTAGATTTTTTTTGTGTGTGTGTCCTTTTTGTCTTTTAAATACAAAGTCCCAACTGTCCCAGTGCCCAAAAGTCTTCCTCTCCACTAAGGCCCAGTGGAGTCGGAGTCTTCGATCAGAACCTCTGTGGTAGCACCGAGTAGATCCGAGTTCATGACCAGCCCCTCGGGGCCCCCGCTGCCGCCGCCGCCCACGAAGAGCTTGCCGTCAGCCATGAGGCTCACCCGCTCCGCCCCGCCACAGAAGGACTTGGACATCCCCTCCGCCTCTAGCAGCAGGCACTCTCCAGGGGCCGAGTTCCCCAGGGGCTCAGAAAGAAGAGGAAGACCCTGAGCATCTGTGGGCGGCGCCAGGGACTCTGGGCTGGTGCCCAAGATATCTGTGCTGGTGATGAGGGCGCCCGCGTTGGCGGCCAGAGCTTCTGCAATCAGCACCTCGGGGTGGCTCTTGGCTTTGTGTGCCACGACACTGTCTTTCTTTTCAAATTTTTTGCCACAGATATTGCAAGAAAACTGGTAGAAGGAGTCTGCATCATGCTTCTTCATGTGCCAGTTGAGAGACGCCTTTTGTCGACAAGTAAATCCACAGATCTCACATCTACAGAGAGCGGGAGAGGAAACAGATCAAAGACAAGCTCGCGCTGTGACGGAAGGCGCAGCTCCTTCCACAGGTGCTCATCAGGGTCACACGCTTCTTGGGAAGGACAAGGAAACTACTAGGTAGAAAGCTGATGTTTTTCTTCTCATTGAAAAACAATAAAAAGCAACAAGAGCAACAAAAGCAAAAAGGTTACCAAGTAGATCGCTCAGTCAACGCCCATTATGTGCTTTGGTAAAACTCAACAGTACACCCGACAGGGCCGTGAGGGACACCCTCCCAGTGGGGTCTGTGTACCCAGAGCGCGCCAGCAAATACTCACTGGAGCGGCTTCTCGCCCGTGTGAATCATCCTGTGCACCGCCAGGTTATGGGAACTCTTGAAGGCCCGAGCACAGTACTCACAGATATAATCCCTTTGATCTAACGGGAAGAGGATGGGGTTAACGCTGCATCTAGACACTCTGTTATCCCTCGCACACAAGCAAGCAGGTGGCCAGGCAGGCCCGTGAAGAGCAGAGGCATTAATGTGGTTCTCCAAGCATGAGTATAAAGAAAACCGTTTGATCTTTAGTCTATACATTTCATGGCATAAAGACTCATTTAAAAATGAGTAAACAAGAAGACTTAGAAATAAACTGGGCTCCTAATTTCAGTGTTACCACTAAATTTTGATCTTGGGTAGACTGGTTTGAAGGTAAACAACTACATTTCCTATGAATTTTATTCTTTAAAACAATTTTGTCACAGAGCATGAAAGATGAAAGGAATGCTTACACAAAAAGACTCTAGCATTCAACAAAACCCCCCAAAAGAATTCGGCATTTGCATGTGGGTGTGGTAGCACACAACTATAATCCCGACACTCTGGGGTCTGATACGAGAGGATCTCAAGTTAGAACCCCACCTTGGCAACTTGGTCAGGCTCTGCTTTGAAACAGGAAAGGGGCAGGGACATAGCTCAGACTGAAGGTTTTAGACTCAATATAAGTATTGCCAAAAAAGAGAAGGCATTCCCCCAGATGTCATCCTCATCTAAAATAACCACACCTGTTTCTGCTTTTAAAAATGTTAACAAAATAAGCAGAAACCTTGCATTCAAATGCATGCAGACAGCATTTTTATTTCTTCTACCCTACATCTTCTGCCACATTCTGTCACTTCCCTGTCACTTTGTAGCTCCCCTTCTCTAATGCCACAGTGATTTTTTTTTTTAAAACTGGGGACTGAACTCAGAACCTTGCGCTTATCAGGCAGGTGCTTATGCTGTTGTGCTATCGCCCTGGCCCTCCACGGTGGTTTTACTGAATGTGGTAATCGAGTGTGGAACCTACATGACACAGGATCACTGCTCTTCTTTACTACCTGGGTAGTGAGCCGAAAGAAACCAGCACCAACTATTTCTTTGCTGAATGAATTAGCACATTTTTTTATTGCATTTGAAAGGAGGGCTGCAAGAACAGCCAACATTCTGGCCCTAGCCTTTCAAGGTCAGTGAGGACTCAGGACATAAGAGAACCTGCACTATAACATCATGATCAAGATTATGGGGCCACAGAAGAATGTGACTGACGATGTAGAGTGTACCTCAGGAGAGTCACATGGAGAGAAAACATTCTCTCAGGCTTTCACAGAGAGCAAATTGCTCAAGCAATGGCCGTGACTCATCCACATGGCTGACACTGACAAAGGTTCTACACGCTGCAGTACAGGGTTTCAGGATAAATCCTGAGGAGATTTGACTGACCTTATCAGACACAAAAGTTATATTTCTTGTTATATAGGTCTTGCTTTATCTTGGTCTTAACCATCCAGCAGAAAAGTATAAAAACAAAGTGTAAAGAGTAAAGTCATATTAATGTGCTGAGCTGTAAAAGGCTCAACAGCTTGTGACACTGCCAGTCCTACAGATAACCCACTACTATTATGGACTACTGGACTATATTGGAATATTTTGCTAAATTTATGCATTTACAATATTTAAATGGCAATGGAATACTCATCTCTGACAAAACTGAACAAAAGAGGGGATACAAATGAAGGACCATTTTGTATCTATATATACAAAATAGGCTAGATAAACAGCTACTTTCTCTTAATTCAATGAGAAGAAAGATTTATACTAATAGTGTTTATGGACAGGATATCATGTCTGCATCTTGTACTATGAATAACTACTACGAAGACAACAATATGAAATGTATTAATTATTGAAAATGTCCTACTAACAGGTTTGGAAACTGTCTCATTGCTGTTTCTCAATAAAATTTAAAAAAAATTAAATTTCTAGATGTGTGAAAACATGCATACAGGGTGAGTGGGGAGCACCCCTTCCTGGAACAGCTTAGAAACAAGTGTAAGAGCACGTCTGTACTTCTCTGTGACACACGAAGGCCACTTGGATCTTGTTGCTGCACGCAGGCCCTCTCCGTGCCTGCGGTTCTGCATGTACCCAGAGTCCAAGCGGCAGGACGTGGGTCAGCCTGTGTGGCACCATATGGCAAGATCTGAATGTGCTCACAACCCCATCAAGGACCACTTAGCAGCAGCTACATCCAGGAAGGCGCACTGAGCGGGTCAGCAACGCTATCCAGACTCTATCTGTACAGGGAGCCCTGCGCACTAACCTTCAAAAGGAAAACTAGTACCATACCAGTTAGTACACAGGAAGAACAGTGCTACACAGTAAACTTGTGCTATTTTGTAAAACTTGAAACTTGCTGTCACAAAACATCTCTATGGGCTGAAACAGTGCAACTAGGATGGGGAGACAAGAACAACTATAGAACCTACCACGAAGCATGGCACTACACAAAACATGCAGATCTTCGGGTTAATTAAAATCCGAGTTCACAGTGTTCAAAAACAGCGCGCCCTGCGTACTTCCTACACCACCTCCTGCCTCCAGCAGCTCTGAGCCCGGCCCCGCCCCTTCCCTCAGCCGCACACGGCATGGAGGACGGAGCACACGGCAGTATCCTCTCGGGGAGTGGATGTATTTTTGTAACTGAATACTCAGTACTACAATCCAAGACTGAGAAGAGAAAGTGTAATCATCTAGTGTCTGACACCCTGACAGTTCCACGCATCAGTAAGGTCCAGGCGAAGCTGTCTCTCTACGCTGCGCTGCACTAAGACTGTCAGCGGTAGGGGCCCAGGAGATAGCTCAGTGACAGAAGTGCCTGCCTGGCAAGTGCAAGGTCCGGAGTTCCCTGTTTCCCCTCAAAAAAAAAAAAAAAAAAAAAAAAAAAA